AGAGGGATTCCACAACTTTTTCTGTTACCAGGGCGACGCTACATATAAATGAGATGAAATAGTTGACAGATTTAATGAAGGGAAAGTTAAACTGTTAGAGGAATATATAAAAGTTAATGTTTCTTTCTGAAATATTTGTTATATTTTACATTCATTAGATTAAAAGTGGATATAATGGATATTCCTAAATATAAAATAATTAAAAAAGGTAAAAGATGTGAAAATTATAAAGCAACCATCGACGCTTCAATCAATCAATCTATTCTTTATTGTACATCATTATAACGTACATACACATTAGAACGAGACAAAGTTAAATATGTAGTACCCGGATGACCGAGCTTTGCTCGGTTTTTTTAAGTTACATTTATATACAAATTACATGAATAATAGTTTTTGATCTTATTGACATAATAGAAAAAACTGAACTGGTTATTTGAATAAAATAAAATTATACAATACAATAAAATTTTCGTATTTTTAAAAAATCCTAAAAAAGGGCTCGAAATAATAGATTTTCTCACAAAAGAAGGGAAATTGAAAAAAAAAAACGGGACGCGAACCACGGAACTCCGATATCACGCCCGAACAACATCCCATCTGAGCTATTATGATCGTTGTTAAGCTGTCAAAATTTACCTTCTTATATTGTAGCAGTTTTTTATTGCCTGAAAACACGGACAAAAGGACATTTTCTAAAAATAAATCCTAGCTAGATCGATTTATTGCCCCCCGAAACTCCCTGGACACAAAATTTTATAAAAATCGTTGGAGCCGTTTCCGAGATTCCGATTATATATATATATATATATATATATATATATATATATATATACACACAAGAATTGCTCGTTTAAAGGTATAGGATATAGAAAGAATAACAGGCGGTCTTATTGCTCTGGAAGTGCAACCAAACCTTGGTTAGCAAAGAACTGTTATTTACAGCGAATCGCAGAGGGAAGGTGTACATGATTTTGAAAATATTATAAACATATAAATAGAGACAAGATGATGATGGTTGTGGATAGGTAGAATAGATACAATTATGGACGGGAATTATGATGGAAATTATGATATTAGACTTCCAAGTAATAAGTTTTGAGTAGATTATTGAATTAAAAAAGGGACTAAGCATGTCGAATATATTTCTATAGCAAGGAGTTCCACAAGCGTACAACTGTAACCGATTACAGTACAGCTGTAAAATGATTTATCGAAGAAAGAGAATGAATGTACTGGAATACGAACCAAAAAATTGTTAGTGGAACGTAGATGATGATCATGAGAGGAGAAAATTAATTCAAAGCGGTCTAACGTGGAATGAAGGGATTGAACAGTATGCTGTATAAAGCAGAAAGGATGTGAGTACTCCTGCGAAGGCGATTCAGCTGCCACTTGAGACGTTTACGAAATTCTGAAACGTAATCATATTTACGGAGTCGAAATACTAATCGTAAGCATAAATTTAGAATTCGCTCAAGTTTATTTAACTACGCTTCCATAACGTCTAGATAACAAAAATCAGCATAGTCAGGAATAGACAGAAGTAGGGATTGAGCAAGCGCAACTTTAGTGGGGGTAGAGAGAAAATTTCTAAGTCTCCGCGCTTAGCGCTGCGAGGCGTTGTCTTGTGTAAATACATACACTAGAAAAAAACTTTTATTCGAAACTTAACTTTACTTGTGTAACAAAAAACATCACCTGAGTCGTAATTAGCGACGCCTAGTGAGCGGAAAACATAACATAATTATTAGCTCCCACTGTAATTCCAGGAACATCTTGCTTGCGTTAAGAATTAATCAAAAAGTACATGAAGTTGTAAACATTGATTACCTTCATAAGCTTTGTAGCCCTTGTCACACTCTCATCATCTTGGACTTGATAATGCCTTGTATAGTTAGTGGATATGATTCTGAGAGTTATGAGCTGATGCAATGTGTCCAGGATATGGCGTAAACTCTCTTTGCACTGTTGTGCCCACACCCGCGCCAGTCTTGCTTGAGCTGAAATGAAATAAGTAGAAATAGTAATTTTCAAAATCCATTATGACTCATCTACATAGTATTATATTAATAAAATTTTATGATAACGCAGGTTTGAAACCAAAAAGTGCTCACTACTGCATTGATTTAATGAATGACGGTGTGGCGCGAGTATACAACAGGGATTTGATTTAAACAAGTCATAGAAGACTAAAGTAATCAAATCAAAAGAAAGCTAAAACAAACAAAGAATCTGTAACAACGAGAACAATACTAATAGGAGGAAAGAACCCTCCATGGGTTCTTTCTAGTTTTTAGTATTTTAGTTTACTCGTAAATGCATCCCAAGTGAAATTTGTTAATATTATAATATCGCCAGGGACAAAAAGCACTTATGAAAAATAGAAATTAAATTTATTACCTATGGCCTAAAACATTAGGTATTAAATACACATGTAATTACGAGTGCAACGCGTGCACATTTCTTTTGCTTTTGTTGTTGTTGTGTTTGTCGAGAAATTTTAAAATCAGGCTCATTTAAAACCGAGTTTTAACTTGTGTCATAAATATTTGATAAAAAGTTAATTAATAGAATCAGGCGTTACTTTGCGAAATACATTATATTAAAGTTATAGTATTTTCTTATTATACATTAAAGGTAACAAACGAGCATACAATCCACCTGATTGTAAGTAGATGCTGTGGCCCATAAACATTTGCATCTATCCTCAACTAAGAATCAAAATGGAGATGCATTATCATCCCTCAGGACTAAGGAATGCCTCGATAATATTGTTCTAAAAATTGTTTGATACCACAGAAATCTAAACAATAAGGCAATAGAAATGCCTTATACTGTCTTTTAATATCAGGACACGTGTCGCCGGTTCGCAGCTCCCACACATAGACAAACAATAAATACACAATTACGCCCACACACGTCTCTAGCATTCATGCAACAAAGATTAAACTATAAACTATTTCGTTAAGGAATATTTTATAAAAACGGTCCAATAATTAACTTGTGCAAAAAAAAGAGAATGACATTGCGCGCTCACTCTCACTTGGGCATAGTGAAGCGCAACGCACGTTTCGATGATTTTCTATTGAGCGTCGTTGATCGTCCAGAAGTCTCACACCAAGATATAACTAATTAACTGAAAATGTCTCAGTAATAGACGCTTTTAGTATTAGCTTTAGCTTCTAGACGCTTTATAATTAGAGAAAAGGGGATATAATAAAACGTTAAGGATAAGTATATCCATTTATCTTTAATATCTGGATCTTTTGGAAACCAGGAATAATAGCATTTTATTAAATAAACAGATTTATAAATAAAATGAATACAACATTATAGAACAGCAAATAAATAAATTATATATGTATGGGTGACATATTTATCATTTTTATTATAGTCAACCAAATCTAAGAAATACATTTTGACAGCTGTGAGACTTATTGCACCAAGCATGCCAACCAAAAAATGGGAACGCACAATATTCGATTCTTAATAAAATCGATATACGATTGTTTAGAGTTGGTAATAATTTACAATTTGGTTTGAATAATACCAGAATAAATTCATCATCATCATCATTATTGCAGCCCTTCACAAGTCCACTGCCGAACATAGGCCTCCCCCAAGTAATGCCACAAAGCACGGTCCTGAGCCACCTGCATCCATCGACTTCCTGCATGTCTTACCAGGTCGTCACTCCATCTAGTGGGGGGTCGCCCTACACTACGCCTACCGGTACGAGGCTGCCACTCGAGAACCTTTCTTCCCCATCGGTTATCGGTTCTTCGAGCTATATGGCCGGGCCATTGCCACTTCAGCTTACTAATCCGTTGGGCTATGTCGATCACTCTGGTTTTACAGAATAAATTAAAAACGGATAATTTAAAACACAATATTTATCAGTTTCTTCGTATTTGTTGTTACTGCTTATTTCTAGAGGCAAAGTTATAAAAATTTAACATTGAAACTAGTTTAAAAATAAATATATTAAATCACTTTCAGTACAACTAGCTGAGCTGTAGTTGTTTAGATTAATTATTATATGATTTTTAATAATGCAGTCAAAATTAATGTCTCTTTCAAAGTCATCTATAATCAATTTTTTTTTCTACAACTTTTGCCCAATCAACCTTTGTAACATGGGCACATGCTTCAATGAATATAAAAGAAATAATCCAAAAAGTAAAAGTAGAGTCACAAAATAAGAAAAACACAAAATCACAAAATTACGCACAGTAACGTCGAGGCCCCATTAGTGCGTTGCGCTGCGTTGCGTCGCGTCATCGCAACGGAACAACTCATTGTATGACACAGAGCCACACCTGTGTTGCGTTGACGCTGCGCCAACGCAACGCAAGAGGGTATGCACGCCGACGCAGCTGCGTCTCAGTTCAGCCTTTGCAATGGATAGATACAAACGTGTTCTTTTGTTGCTTTTATTACGGCACCGCCGAAATAAACGTAGAAATCATAGAAGATTCGGGATATCTCCTTTGATAGCATTAAGAAATGGTGATGGTCAATTTTTTATGCAGGAATATAGAGAGTTGTTATTAGATGAAAAGACTTTTTTCAATTTTTTTTTGAAAGAGTGTGGCCAGCTTTAATAATTTGGTTGAAACCTTAAAACCACATATAAAAAAGCAGTATACCAAATTCAGGAACCCTTTAGAACCAATTGAAATTATTAGTATTACATTGAGGTAAGTAATTCAAATATCATAATACTCGTAATGTTAATCAGTTATTAATTTATTATCTTTAAAAACAGTTTAATTTAAGTATTTCTATTAGGCAACAAAGCAAAGTTATAATCTTCTTCTTGACTATCATCAGTAAAATTATTAATCGTAGTGTTGGTTGAGTAGGTAGCTTCGAATTCATCTGTTCGATACGACGATGGCGATGGTGACTGGGCATGTTGTCCAGTTTGATATCCGCGTGTGGGGGATCTGTTCAGTTTGATATCCTTTTGGCGCTGGTGTGTTTCGTTATTTTTTTTTTTATGTTGCTCTTAGGGGACCTGGGGGTAACGAGGACATTTCTTTTGTAGGAAATGGAGAAGATGATGCTGTGTTTTCATTTCGTTCCGTTTCTTCAGGCACCATTTCAAGGCTACTGTCAGTTTTATTTTGGGCAACTTTCATCAAAAACAGCAACTGATACTGATACTACAACTTGTAATAATGATATTTTTTCAATTGTTTTGCCCCTGATCCAGACGAACTGTTTTCTTTTATTTTTTTTACGTATCGAAAAAAGTTGTCCTTCACGCTTCTCCATTTTTTCACAACCTCGTTACCTGCAAAGAAAGAAAAAAATGTGAAAGTACCTAGTTAGGTACTTACACATTTTTTTCTTGTTTGTCTACACTGACCAATCTAAATGGGCCACCCTGTTTATTTTTTGTGTTTCTATTTCAGGTACTTAGGCAGCGGAAATTCGATAAACGACTTGCATTTCAAATTTAAACGTGGAAGAGCAACAATTTCTAGAACTATTTCGTCAGTTTGTCAAGCTATATGGAAATATGTTCGACCACAGTACATAGAAGAGATCACAGTAGAAAAACTACAAAATATTGCATTAGATTTTGATCTCAAAGCTAACTTTCCTCATTGCTTCGGGGCAATTGATGGGAAACATATACGTTTAATAAAACCAGACAAAAGTGGCTCTCTGTTTTATAATTATAAAAATTATTTTTCAATTGTTTTGCTGGCGGTTGTTGACTCAAATTATAAGTTTGTTTTTGTCGACGTGGGTGCATATGGTAAGGAAAGTGATTCTACTATTTTTAGAAATTCGACACTGTACAAGATTTTAATGAGAAATGAATTACCATTGCCTGATCCTCAACCACTTGGAAATGATCGTAATAACGAGCCACCAATCCCTTATGTACTCGTCGGTGATGAAGCTTTTGGTTTAAGTAAGCATGTTATGCGCCCATACGGCGGATCCAATCTCAATGTGAAACAAAGAGTTTATGATTATCGCCTTAGCAGAGCTCGTAGATACGTGGAGGTCATGGCAAATAAATGGCGCATTTTACATAGGCCAATTGATACGTCATATGATTTAACTATTAATATTGCGAAAGCATGTTGTGTTTTACACAATTTTGTTATACAACACGATGGGTTAAAACAACTAGACGATATGGCAATAAGTAGGTTCCCACAATTGAGACCCCATAGTAATGAAGAATCATTAGCCGAAAATTTTATCAGAGATAAATTTGCTAATTACTTTATGAGTCCAGAAGGGGCTTTACCATGGCAGTTGAAAAAGATATATATTAACTTATGTATTGAATTTACAAATAATATAATAAATAACAACTCACCAATCTTGTTCTTTTTTTGATCCTCAAACTCCTCGTAATCTTGAAATATTTTTTTACAAACAGCTACCCATTCATTCGCTTTACGAAATTTATCACTGTAATGTTCGTGTGATTTATCCATATAATGGGTCTTTCTTGGACCAAGGATATGAGAAAATCTATATCAATATCCTGCTCACTCATGGTAAGATAAAAAATGTCGTTACGCTCGTCTAGCTTCCTCCTCTAGCAGTGCATCACTGTCCGTCGTCGCAGCGGAGCTCCGACAACGCAGGGCATCACCCTCCCTCCCGCTTCGTCTCTTGTCCGTCGATCCGTTGAAACGTCGCGCGCGACGACGCAACGGTCTAATGGGGCATGTCATAAAAAATGTATGGAAAACGACGCAGCGATGACGCAGCGACGACGCTGCGACGACGCAACGCAGCGCAACGCACTAATGGGGCCTCGCTCTAAGCTCCCGAAATGGCGGGAGATTGAAATTACGTAGTGGTTTTTCAGCGCGGCCTTGTATATGAATTTTTTTGCCTACACAAATTTACGTTTACAAAATAAAAAAATAAACTTGTTTTATTCATGGGCCATCTAATTTAAGGAAATTTAAAAATAAAAATTTAATTGAACAAATAATACATTAAAAAAATTAATGATTCGTTTATTTGAATATTTTTACGGATTATTCGAATATATTAGCCGATTATTCGCATAACAATACATTTTAATCCTTCAAATACTACGCGGTAACGTTCATAGCGACATGTCATTGAAACGACGTCAAGTAAAAAAGTTGATACTGGTTATTTATTTTAATATGTTGTGAATTCAGTGGATTTGGGTTCTTTGTTGAAAAATGACGAAGCCCAAAGTTGACAAATGTTAGTTTATTCAGCAGAGTTTCAAAAGGTACCTGTTAATATTTTAATAAAGAGAAATATTCAAGACTTTATACAAAAGCAATTTGTTCGTTTATTTACAATTATTACATGTTCTGTGGAAGAAATGTATTAACAAAGTTTAGCACGTGGCGACTAATTTTGAGTGCAAAATTACAGCTTAAATTGATACAAAATGAACATACCTTTTGAACGCTTTGATAATACTTGTTTTGTTGAACAAAACTATTGACAAACAATCAACGGATTGTTGTTCAATACTTTACGATTTTCAGAATTACAATTTGGAGCACGTTTGCCTTTCGCCATCAAGTTTCGCTTTTTCCATAGAGTAGAGTAATATATGGCTTTGTCTCATGAAGTTATCAAAAAGTAGGCTTGCCAACTTAATTACACAAAATATGAGAATACATTATTGCCAACTTAGACTCTATATAAAACGAAAATAAAGTGTGAAGGAGGATAGGATCAAAGTTGGTCTAGGTCAGGTCAGCTGTCAATTGATCAATTCTCAACATAATATTTTGCTTTGTTTGAAAGATTAGAATTTAAATTAGTGATAAAAAAACTATACACGTTGTAATGAAGTATAGATAACTTCATAATTCTTCGGATTTACGTAAAAGGTTATTTTAAATCGTGTGAGTACGCTTGTGTAAAGTTATTGTGGAATGATTAATGTGAAACGTCAAAAGTGATTTCTTAGATTTGGTTGACTACAGTTTTAAAGATTTGTAACAGACTTTCCATTGTTTGTTATTTTTCAGTTACCAGGCTTCTTACAGATCGAATTTAGTCTACTATACTTACAACATAATTACTTATCCTTACAATATATTAAAATTGCATAAAAAATTATTAAGTAATTTAAAAGTACGAACAAACAGACAATTGCTGATAAACGGCTGACGGTATAAAATATTTAGAAAGAAAAAATAGAGAAGGTATAAATAAATATTTAACGAAAAATCATTTTTCATTCCCATTTCGGTAAAACTAGGTAAACCAAACGTAATAAATTGTCGATATAAAATAGTAGTGTCACGTAACTGAGTCGCGTTCGACTCCTGCGGCCGTGTTCTAAAAAATTTACGTACCTACGCAACAATTTTGTTTATTGCCTATACTATAAATCCATCGCTGCTTTTAGCTGTCGTAGATATGAACTAGCTTAAGAATTAATGGATTTTAAAATATGAAAACAATTACATTTTCGGAGACAATCGTAGTACTGGAGGTGAATAATTTTATGTAAGTATATTTCATTTAAAACAACATTATTTAAAACACTAAGTACTTATTTATGAAATGTTATCCCTTATATTAGAAAATTTGCGAGTTGTGGAAGAATTTCGGTAGTTGGATATACTTCAAAACATCATTTTTACGTCTCTGCGTCCGAAAAAAAACTGGTGACTGAAACAAACGCTCTTCACGCGCTTGTGGCCTACAAGTCACATGTGCGGCGAACAAGGTCATGCGCTTTTACGACTTCTATAACCTTATTATTTAGATTTCTGTGTGATACATTTCTAAGCATGTCTCTGTCACTTTTTACTAAATTAAATGCGTCCATTTTGGGCTGTTTTAAATCAGTCACAATTTTTCCTTCTTTTGTACACACTTATCGTTTTGGCATGACAGCGAAACCGGAACTGGCCATGATCAAGTAACCATCACAATATGTACGTAATATTGAATCAGCGCTAGAATCTTGAGAGTAGGGATATCATTTGTGCGTAACGATTGTTTGTGTATTCTTCTGCATATATTCGCTTCGCAACTTCTATATCAATCGCTTTTAATAGCTTTATTTATTTTTGTTTTTATTGATAATTCAATTCTATACCATACCAATAAAAAATATCTTCGCCATAGGTTTCTCTCTTTCGTTCATCCATTACACCCCTTTTACCCCTCACGGTAAAAGTCATTTAGTATATTATTTCTTTTTTTATACTGGTATTCTGCGTAGCCACTGCCACCACCTCACACACACACACACACACACACACACACACGCACGCGCACGCACGCACGCACGTACGCACACACGGACACACGCACACACGCACACGCACACACACACACGCATACACACGCACGCACACGCACGCACACGCACACGCACGCACACGCACACGCACACACGCACACACGCGCACACACGCGCACACGCGCACACACGCACACACGCGCACACACGCACACACGCACACACGCACACACGCACCACGCACCACGCACACACACACACACACGCACGCACGCACGCACACGCACGCACGCGCGCACGCACGCACGCACACGCGCACGCACGCGCACACGCACGCGACGCACGCACGCACGCACGCACGCACGCACGCACGCACGCACGCACACACACACACACACACACACACACACACACACACACACACAGGGACGCATACGCACGCATGCGCACGCGCACGCGCACACACACACACACACACACCACACACACACACACACACACACACACACACACACACACACACATACACACACGCACACGCACGCACGCGCCGCACAGCACGCACGCACACACACACACACACGTACACGCGCGCACGCACGCACGCACGCACGCATGCACGCTCACGCGCACAAACAGGGACGCAGACTTTTCCCTTATCACACATTTCTCACTTTGTAATTCAGAGTCAGCCCTAACATACTTTTTAATGAAAGCATTCATACAGCATTATTTTTACCTTCAAGCTTCTTGAGCCACACACAGCTTTCATGAACACACGATAAGATAAGGACTAATACATCATTGTGAATTGCCATACATGCCTTTATTGACACATTCTGACTTCCCACAATAGAATCAAGAGCATATTAATAAATAACAAAATATCAGATCAGCAGTATTTTTAAATCTTGTGAGCATTGAATTTAAAATCATGTTACGAGTTAGTTTGTACATTTCAAATTGAGTATCATTAAATTTATTTTTTTAAATATCTACCTTTAACGGGCAAATGCTCAGCAGCGAGACAGAGTGTGGGTAAAGCTATTTCCAGGTAATCACTGCAGCCAAGATCAGGCACTTCAAAGGCTATCACAAAACAATTCACCACATCCTCCATGCTCATCTTTTGATTTATCCTCAGGTCTATCATCAGGTGTTCGGCTAACGTTGTGAGTGCCGTGACTAGCGCCGAGCTGTAGTAATCTGATGGCACCTATAATTAAATTTTAACTTTGTAAATAAAATCAATACACAAGTTATAACTGTACTTGGGAAGCGAAGTTAACAAATTGCTCCATAACTCTCTCAGAAATAAGAAGAGGCCTGTATCCGGCGTACACATTACACAGGCTGTAACTAACATATTATAACTGTTATTTACAAGATGGTTGCTATGTCAAAATCAAGTATGTTACCATACAAACATGTTGTTTTTTGATGAAGGCCTTCCACCAACGGACGGACCACGGAACGGAATCAAAGGCATTTAATTATACCCATTATATGTATATATATATGAATAACTCGACGTTTTAAATCTCGACGATTCTGTTGGCCATACAAATAATTTTTCCTGGTCTGAATGTTTTTCCTTGTGCAATTAATTTACGTGAACTGATTTCTTATATTTAAGCGAATGCTACACATTAAACTAATTTTAAGGATTTTATCGCGTTTAATTTTAACCCATGGTCATAGGGAGACAGGTGTTTGACGTCCTGGTGTTATAGCTAACACAAGCTACCTTCAACTTTTAAATATTAAACTTTGGTCCGATCTACACAGAATGAGCTTACAGTATCTTGAAGTGTCTTCTTGAATATGCTTGGGTTTAAATATTTAATTTTATTATTATAGGATCCCAAGTAGACGGTGGCACCCAAATTAACAAACACAAACAACTCAAAGGCAAATTAGGAGATTTTTAATTTCAATAACCTCGCGAATCCTTGATAGGAATCGGTGTTCCGAAAAATTCACCATTTAAAACCCCCGAAACGACGTGAATTAAAATTAAAATTAAACGCGATAAAATCCGTAAAATTAGTTTCATTTAATTATGTAAACAGCCATAACGATACACGAGAAACATTAGAAAGTGAGCAACATTAGAAAATACAAATGTCAAACTATATAAGACTTCAATTCTCAAGATTTTTAGGGGGAATTTTGAGAACTTAAAATGTATTGACGGACTTACTTTTGCAAGATACTGAAATGCTCTATGACATGACGCCACATCTAAACCGGGTCCAGTTACACTGTCAATGTCTTTATCTGGATCACTTGTCGAACACATGGCTTTCGACTCCTTATCTGCAAATCGTATTTTAGTGATATTGAGCAAGCATTAGCTGACTGTAACAATTTACTATGTAAACTTTTTTAAGGTATCAGTTTATATTGATAGTTTTAAATACCTCTTTTATATTCTAACCAATACTACATTTTTAACAACTATCAAAATTTTAGTAATAACGACTTTGCGTCATAATTCATAAAGCAAAGTTCGTTATTTCGACCACCAAATACCACCGCTCTTCTGCTCCACGCCTCCAGAGTAGTGCAACCATGGAGGACGGAATTAAAGAGATTCTGAAGGACTTCAAGTACCGGTTTTCCACCCGCGGAATTCCGTTTTTAAAGTGCTGGAGAGCCATTCTAATCTCGCTCAGACTGACATCCGGGACATCATCGGAATAGTGTCGGATAAGACTTGCTCTTGGATCGTTACTAACACTTGAGTGTGGCTCCAACGATGACGTGTACTGCCAGTACCGCTGTGCAGTGTAGCTGCCCATAGAACCTCTCAATCTCACTCAAAATCTCAAGTGTCCCGGAAACGATGCTGCCGCACTCGGTCTTCAGCTTTGATTGTTGGCTCTTTCTGGCAGACAGATCTCTGGCAAAGACTTTGGAGCCCTAGTTCCGCTCAATCGCTTCTTCAATACGAGCTGTATTGAAGTTTCGTATGTCCCGTCGCATGTATTTCTGAGAGAGAGGTCTGTCTGTTCATTTGCCTGTATGCTGTCAAATCTGCTGAAGACTGCAGCTTCATTTCCCGGCTAACAGCCATGAGATTAAGAGAGTGATCGGAGAGTTTTTGTGTTCTTCTGCAGCGGGTCTTGCAGAACTTAGCTCCGTCGACATAGACATTTTCCACATGCTTCATTCATATCGTCGACTGTATTGCAGCCTTCTAGACACTGAAAACGGTTTTGTAATTCAAGCTGAACGTTTTCGGGACCCTGGATTAGTGCACGAGGGGGACGGAGCGTTGACTTCTTTAGACGGGACCTCTCTAACTTAACTTTAAGGTTCAGTGTGCCTCCAACCATTCGGTGATCGCTGCCAGTTTTATGCCTCGCGGTCACTGAGACATCACTGAACAGCTGGCGTCTGGTCGTCATAATGAAGTCAATCTCATTTTTTGTCGAATCGTCGGGGCTCGACCAAGTCCACTTCCTGTGGGACCGCTTCTGGACGAAGTTCATAATAAAGAGTCCCTCTCTCCATGAAGTCGGCCAGCTGCTGGGCCCTTGGGTTCCGTTGCCCTAATCCAAATTTCTCTACCTTCAGCTCACCGCTTTTTCTTGTGCCTAGTTTTGCGTTGAAGTCTCACCATCAACACCGTATAGTGGGTTTTGGAGGAATGCACGTTCTAAAGATGTCCTCATACATTTCCTCCCCCTCCTCGTCGGGATGTGCCGAAGTTGGTGCGTAAACCTATATAACCTTCAGCGAATACTATTTAGTGATTCAGAGTATCAGGTACGCAACCCTCGTCGATACACTCCCAATCTTTACAACGTCGTTGACGGGAGACTTGTGGACAATAATTCCGACACTTCCTTGGGACAGATTGTCGCCCTCCCGGTGATAGAACAAGTTGCCGGATTCGAGAATTACCGTGTCCTCCCCCTCTTTTCGGACCTCGGATAATCGTATAATATGCCAGCGCAACTTGTCTACCTCTTTAGTTTAGTTTAGTTTAGTTTGCGACGGGCTGTTTTCCGCAACTCCACGTCTATGCGCGTATTTTGCGTGTGGGCAGGAATAATGTGATTATTCGAGCCATGAGATCTCCCCGAAGAAGCTCAACAGTCCCTTGATGTTGCATGCAACTTCGGGGAGTGATCCCGGCGTGCCGAGATGTTTAGCCCTGTACGTAGCGACCTCCGGACATTTCAGTAGCACGTGGGCCGCCGTTTCTTCCTCCCCCATACATGCTCTGCACAGGGGACTATCTGTAACACCTATAGTAAATAAATGTTTGTTAAAGGTGCCGTGTCCTGTGATAGCACTTGTTACTATCCTGATCTGCGGCTTGTTCAGTCTCATTAAAACTTTGGTTAAGCGACTGTTTATTACAGGTAGGGCCTCCCTAGCTTGTCTACAGTCTACTAGATTTTTCCAAAGCTGAGCGTGTTGATTAGTGAAGTGTCTACGTACCATCGAACGAATGTTACCAAAGGGGATTGGTATGATTGGTTCCGGCCCTATAGTGGCCAGAGCCGATCCTCTTCTGGCCAGTTCGTCCGCTGCATTGTTGCCTCTGGATCCACTGTGTCCCTTTATCCATTGCAGAGTCACATTGTTGTTTTTACATACCTCATTTAATCGTTGATGGCATTCATATACTAGTCCCGAGTTCACCCCATTGCAACTCAGAGCTTGTAGTACCGCCCTACTGTCGGTCAGTATTCTGATGGGGAAGTCATTTAACCTTCCTAGCATCTATTGCTATGGCCGCTTGAATGAAACCCATACATTCCGCCTGAAAGACCGTGTTATAGGTACCCAGCGGTGTGCATATGTGAATATTGAGGTCTTCAGAGAAAGCTCCAGAACCTACACCTTCATTTGTTTTAGAACCATCGGTGAAAACTCTAAGCTCTTTTGGGCTTAATCCTTCCGGCTGGCTGTTTTCATTTAATTGTATCTTGTATTTCTTATCGAAAACAAATTGTTTAGGAATCCTATCGTATTTGGCTTGTAGGATAGGAATTTCTGAGTGAATTCTATCAATTATGCCTGTATAGTGAGGGACACTATTCTTACTCCAAAGATTTAGGGTCTTGAGTCTGATGGCAGCTAAAGTCGCTTCTTGTTGTATATGTAGATGAAGCGGAGTTAGCTCCAGCATCGCTTCCAAGGCTGCTGTTGGCGTAGTTCTTGTGCAGCCTGTGGCAGCCATACATGCCAGTCTCTGGTAGCGCTGAAGCTTCTTAATTGTGGTGGCTTCATTTGTCTTGGTCCACCATACCAGAGCGCCGTATGTGATCATGGGCCGAATTACAGTTTTGTAAAGCCACAGTATGATTTTTGGAGTCAGTCCCCATCTTTTGCTAATCATGTTTCTGCATTGCCAGAAAGTTATACTAGCTTTGTTGATTTTGTTTTCTATGTGTTTATTCCAGTTAAGTTTGCTGTCCAAGGTAAGACCTAAATATTTTACCTCAGAGGATAGCTGGAGTTTTGTGCTGAAAAGACTTGGAAGATGATAGTTATTCAGCATTTGTTTTTGTGTGAACATTACTAAAACCGTTTTATTTGGGTTGACGGTTAAGTCGTATTCCATGCACCATCTCTCCACTATACGGAGAGCCGCTTGGGTTAGGTCGCACACTATGCTTGCTGTCTTTCCCGAGACCAGTATTGTCAGATCATCAGCATAACCTACTGTATAGTAGTGATTAGTATTTAATTTGCTGATGAGTTAGCATTAATGACCATATTCCACAGGAGAGGTGAGAGAACCCCACCCTGCGGGCAGCCTTTCTTAATTAGGATTGGTTGAGATTCACCAGCAATTTTTATTATTCGTGTACTGAGCATGCAAACTATCCAGTCGATCAGTGCCGGTTCAACTTTATGTCTACTGAGTGCACCTTTTATGCTGGAGAAGTTCGTTCTCTCAAAAGCACTATATCTATGAAGTTCTATATCTATGAAGGAACCTAGACATATTTCTTTGTTTTGGATGGCCTCTTCAATCTTTGTAATTACCTGATGAAGTGCCGATTCCGTTGATTTGCCTAGACTGTAGGCGTGTTGCTTGTCGTGTAGTTAAGTTCATTAGCGCCGACCCACTTAATTCCCTTTCACACATCCTCTCCATCGTCTTTAGGAGAAAGGATGTGAGGCTAATGGGCCTGTAGGATTTAGGGTCAGTGTAATCGCTCTTACCTGGTTTGGGTATAAATGTGACTTTCACTTCCCTCCATCCCCTAGGAACATATTTAAGAGCCAGACAGGCTCTCATTATGGCAACAAGTCTGACTATTAGGGCTTTACCCCCCCCCCCCCCACTGTAGGAGTGCCGGGAATATGCCGTCAGGTCCTGCCGCCTTATAGGGGAGGAAACTGTGAATGGCCCAATGGATTTTGGCCATCGTTACCACTCTCTGTGCTAAATTCCAGTCTTCTACTGTTGGTGTCGGTATGTCGTCATGCCGGTTTGCCTCCTGGGTTACGCAGCAACCTGGGAAGTGCGTTCAATTAGGATGCGTTGGGCTTCATCCGGCGATGTTGAGTAGCTACCGTCGGGTTTCTTTAGAGACATGGATCCCGACGTGTTCTGTTTAGCTAGAATATTCCTTATCCTATTTGCTTGTTCGCAAGTTTCTATGTTGCCACAGAATTTACGCCACCCAGTCGAGCGTCGATACGTCTACCTCTTTTCCCAGCTCTAGGATCTTCTCGTCAGTCCTCAGGGTGCGTGCGTTATATGTTAGCAGGTCGTGTCAACGTTAGGTGGCAACCGAACCCCCACCGGAGATTCTTAGCACCCATTCCCCCGCCGTTAATATGGTCGCCACCGTAACCAGCAATAACGGGGCCGCCGGGGACTGAGGGCCGTTTGTTTATGCTCATGGGGGGATGTTTGCCTTAGTTGCCGCGCTTGGCGAGCGGGTTCCCAACCGTTATTGCTTTTATCAGGAAGATGCTGCTGCCCATCTCCTACCTGTCTCCCTCTGTCGCCTCTTACGATACCCACGGGAAGATATGGGACAGTTGATATTCTCAACCGCCACTACACGGCCTTGTCATTGTTGTTGATACCAAATTTATTCCATTGAAACATCTTCCAAAGCAGAGATGAAGTTTTGGGGAAATAATATCAGCCTATCTTACACCTCCCTGTAGTTGAATGGTTTCTTACTTTGGTTCTGTACTTAGATAAAACTGTAGTTTTACTGTATGAACATTTCAGTATTTCAACTTGCACTTTGCACTGCGGAAGGCACTGTAGCACTGCCCAAATTTTGATGTAGTCAAAGGCTTTTCATAGTGCACATAAACCAATTACAGATGGTATAAAAATTAACACATGTGAAATATTTATATAATACAAATGTTCATTTATTCATGACACTATTATACTTATTTGAATGAAGAAAATATTATGTTGTATGCTATGTCCACTGACCTCTATATATACAAGTATGCTGGACTGGCTATACCATACAAAATGTATTTGCCGATTTGAAGCGCCACCATTTCTCATTCCGGGAACTAAACTTGACATAATATGCCAAAATCTGTTGTCTTATTTAAATATTATCTCTGTATTTGAAATTTTTAAAGTAAAAAAACGAAAGTATTTTATGTGGTATGATTGTGAATAATGTTAGTTACATGATATGAATTATTTTTAATAATAATGAGTGTGCGTAATATGTAAAACTTGTTACTAAAAGAAAAGTGGTATAAAATTCTACAAGTAAGTGAATTTACAGCCTAATATTAAACAAATTAAAGCTACTTGATAATATAGGTATTGTAAAAATTTGTTACAAATCTTAATATCGTAATTACCAACATATTTGGCTTTATATTACTGACTTTTGATAAACAACAAAATTCTATAGGTTGGTCAAATTCCCTGTCTATAATACTTATCAATGTTCTTTTCTACCCATATCTGTTAACAACCAAAGTCGCCAACAGCACATAATTATCAGATTTTTATTAATTAACAGGTTTCCAACTGAAGCTAGACTAAAATTATGGCTTAAAAGCATAAATATCTTGAATTGGCGTCCAAAACAAAATTACCATCCTTGTTCTAAACATTTCACAGATGACTGTTTTATTAGACATGAAAAACGTACCACTTTGAAAAAATGCAGTATACCGACAATGTTTTCTGGTAGTACCAGTAAGTATAAAAATATTAGATTATTATATCGAATGTTTTTATTTCTTCTCTTCTTATTTTCTCTCAAACTCAAGGGCCATAGCCAAGTGTTGAAAAGTCGCCTGATGATGACTTTGTATTTACAAGACGTAAATTTGTTAAATCTGTTTAAATGTGACCAATTTATTATATCAAGGAAATAAATTTATATTGGGACTGCAAAATTATTAATGTCCTTAGTGAGTTTGCGTGAGTTTAGGTGAGAAATAACTCCTCCCTTAACGGGTTCCCGCCTTGTCATAGCGGAGGGCGGGAGGGGTTAGTAGCCGTGGCTCACATGGCTGGCCCGAGATGGTCACTCTGAGTAGGCTTGTCGAGCTCTTGGATGTGTGTCAGTGGGCTGCGGCTAGAGAAGATTTCTCTCCCTCTACCGCTGCAGTCGAGGTGTAGTCACAAGGGAAGAGGAGTGTTGGTATGGCGATTGGCCGCTCGACTATCCTCAGACATGGTCCTACACTGCTGGTCGTATGAGGAAGCTCAAATTCACTCAGCGAGCTATGGAGAGGGCTATGCTCGGGGTTTCTCCGCGTAATAAACGTAGGAATGAGGATATCCACTGTAGAACCAGAGTGACTGACATCGTTCAACGGATTAGTAAGCTGAAGTGGCAATGGGCCGGCTATATAGCTCGAAGAACAGATATCTGATGTGGAAGAAAGGTTCTCGAGTGGCATCCTCGTACCAGCAGGCGAAGTGTAGGACGTCTCCCCACTAGATGGGAGTGATAACCTGGTAAGACATGCAAGTTGATTAATGCAGGTGGTTTAGGACCATGCTTTGTGGCATTCCTTGAGGGAGGCCTATGTTCAGCAGTGGATCTGATGATGGCATTACGATTCACGACATTCACTTCTGCTGTCAGCGCCAAAATGGCGTAAATCAAATCGCCTCTTTATGTCACGGTGTATAGCCAGTCCATATGTAGAGGTCAGTTCCAATGTTAGTCTAGGCAAGGAGCTAAAAAAATATGTTTATAGTCTTATAACATTTTACATACCAGTTTTATCCTCTTCTATGCATTTGGTCTTACTATCTCTCAATTTACTCTGAAATGACCTGGCCAATATAGCAGGTTGTGTGAATGCTTCTCCAAGTGCTCTTATTAATGGCTGTGGTACTTTTGTCTGAAGGCAATCATCGCAAAGCTGACACATACGTTCCTCTGTCAAGGGTACACCATCTAATAACAATAATATTAGTTTTCATTAATATTTAAGGGACTTGATAAAAAATATCATTAGTAATTCCTGTATAAGGTATGCATGAAATGACTGATATAGTTAGTGTTTCACTAATATTATGATACATCCAGGTTTTATTTAATTTTACAGAGACTAAAACCAGGCTAGCAAAACTTTCATAGTAAAAAATAAATGTACGTAACGGGTACTAATTTTAATGGTGGCACCCTGCTTACTTTTATAGAAGTAATTCCCCGATCTCATAATATGACATTGTCAAACCAAATATGATGTACCATTTATATTTTGTTCAATAATTTAATTTGCTTGTAATTTTGCTAAAAAAGCCGTAGTTCTTGAACAGAATTGTTACAATTTACTTGTTAAACTTGTTTTACATAAGTTTTTAAAAGTAATCGAAAATGCATAATAAAACTTGCGAAATGTGGTGTTAGATGCCGTAAGATTAATAACAATAAAAGGTTCTTCATGGCAAAGTCCTCCTTATTTGATGGTGTTTTTAATTGTGAATACATTTTTGGACCTTTATATGTGGTAATGTCCTCTAGACCGAATTTCGATTGCGGCGGCCAGTCTTAACGGCTAACTACTCATCAGCGTAGGAGAGGGTTATAGTTAGAGGGTGTTCAGAGGTGCTTTCATAGTTCGATGTGAGAGCAATCCGACAAGACCGGAAAGGGTTTAGGCGTAGGACCAACGGCTTTACGTGGTTTCAGAGGCACGAGGGTGAAACAACGCCAACTTCATGTCTCCAGGCTGCCTCTGAGAATTCCCTGACAGAAAAATCTAATAACTGATATGGGCCCGACCAGGGATTCGAAGCCGTGACCACATAATCAGCAGTAGCACTTTTATGTATAAAACCGATTACGCTCTACACTTACGACTACAAGGCCAAGAAGGCAGTTATTTATGGTAATTGTTGAATAACTAACTAAATTATAAATTGGGACTTATGTTTTTTTCTTCAACAAAAATGTTTAAAAATATAATTATAGTACTATATTGTACTAAAATCATTATTTTATTATTGCGAGCAACTTTAGTGAGTGATTTCGGAGTGCTGAGACATTTAGACCTGTATGCAGCGACCTCTGGACATACTAGCAACATGTGGGCCCCCATTTCCTCCTCTCCCATATATGCCCTGCAAAGGGGCATCTGCAACACTACGGTAAATAAAAATGTTTGTTAAAAGAACCTTGTCCTGTAATAGCATGTGTCCTATCCTGATCTGTGACTTGTTCAATCTCATTAATACCTTGGTTTTACGACTGTTTATTTCTGTCAGGGCCTCCTTAGTTTGCCTATAGTCTACCAGATTTTTCCAAAGATAAGCATGTTTATGAGTAAAATTTTTACGTACAAGAGAACGAACATTACCAAAAGGGATCGGTATGATTTATTTGCTACGGCCCTATATCGGATACTCTCCTGGCTAGTTCGTCTGCTGCGTCATCGCCCCTGGATCCACTGTGTCCTTGATCCATTCCAAAGTCACATTATTGTGTTTAAATACCTCATTTAATCATTGATGGCATTCATATATTAGTCCCGAGTTTACCACATTGCAACTCCGAGCTTGTAGTACTGCCATGCTGCCGATCAGTATTCTAATGGTATTCTAATGGTCTTTTACCATCCTGACATCCATACATTCTGCCTGAAAGACTGTGTTGTGAATACCCAGCGGTGTATATATGTGGATATTGAAGTCTTCCGAGAAAGTTCCAGATCAAGTACCTTCATTTTTTTTTAGAGCTCTCTGTGAAAATTCTAGGTTTTTTTGGGTTTAATCCCTCCGGCTGGTTAGTATTATTTAATTGTATCTTATATATCTTATCAAACACAAATTGTTTGGGGATCTTATCATACTTGGCTTGTTGATAGGAATTTTGGTGTAAATCCTACCAATCATACCGGTCTTGAGTCTGATGGCAGCTAAAGTTGCTTCTTGTTGTATGTGTATGCAGGTAAAGTGGGGTCAGCTCAAGCATAGTCCTTAGGGCTGTTGCTGTAGTCCTTATACAGCCTCTGGCAGTCATACATGGCAGTCTCTGGAATCGCTAAAGCTTATTAAAGTGGTGGTTTTTATTCGTTTTGATCCGTGCATTAATCTCAACAATTTCGAGCGAATTACTCCCAACATCTATATTCATACAATACTATACATGATGTCTCGTACGCAGACTCGACGACTTCCAGCCTCCCGAACAAGCCGGTTTCCGAAAAGGCTTCAGTACCAGATTGTACAGAAGACTGAAGAGTACAATCTGCCACTTTGCCTAGCGTATGTGGACTAAGAGAAAGCCTTTGATTCCGTCGAAATTTGGGCGGTGCTACAGTCCCTTCAGCAGTGCCAAGTTGACTGTCGGTATATCGAAGTGCTAAAGTGTTTGTACAGTAGGGCTACGATGGCTATCCGAGTACAGAACCAGAGTTCGAAACCTACCCAACTGCAGAGAGGTGTAAGACAGGGTGACGTTATATGCCCGAAAATCTTCACCGCTGCATTGGAAGACGTTTTCAAGCTACTGGACTGGAAAGGATACGGTATTACCATCACTGGCAAGTACATCACTCACCTTCGATTTGCCGACGATATAGTCCTTATAGCAGAATCGCTGGAGGACCTAAGCACTATGCTCAATGACCTCAATGGTGTCTCCCAATGGATAGGTCTTAAGATGAACATGGACAAAACAAAGATCATGTTTAATGTCCATATCACACCTATGCCGCTAGTTGTTGGGAGCACTATGCTCGAAGTTTTTGACGAATACGTTTACCTGGGACAAATAGTCCGACTAGGTAAGTCCAACTTCGACCGAGAGGTCAATCGACGGATTCAACTCGGCTGGGCAGCGTTCGAGAAATTACGACACATCTCGTCAGGTATACCTCAATCTCTGAAAACTAGATTGTACAACCAGTGCGTGTTGCCAGTGATGACTTACGGATCTGAGACGTGGTCCTTCACTGCTGGCAGTATGAGAACGCTCAAAGTCGCTCAGCGAGCTATGGAGAGGGTTATGCACGGGGTTTCTCTGCATGATAAACTTAGAAATGAGGATATCCACTGTAGAACCAGAGTGACCGACATCGTCCAACGGATTAGTAAGCTGAAGTGGCAATGGGCCGGCCATATAGCTCGAAGAACCGACAACCGTTGGGGAAAAAACGTTCTCGAGTGGCAGCCTCGCACCGGTAGGCGAAGTGTAGGGCGACCCCCCACTAGATGGAGTGACTACCTGGTAAGACATGCAGTTTACCTTTTCCTCGCCGATTAGCACTTTAACACACTTCAATTTATCACAAGGAACCTTATTATCCTCCATCTTCACTGCAAATCTTTGAAAAATCATAAATTTTCAACACACAACAAAAACAAACCTAAACATTGAAATGTGAAGTGTTGCTTGCAAACGTATCGCCCGCGCACTCGTAAACAACTTCAGAGCAAAGCACGGCTTTTGGTTCTATAGTAATTGCTATATAAAAATTTCGTAGTTATATTTCATTATAGAACATTTTGCCACGGGTTAGAAAGGGAGCGATCGTCTTCTCGAAAGCCCGGTAAAAAAACCCACGAGTGCGAGAGAGACGACTATTGCTCAAATCAACTCATTGCTTTCATTAATTTTCATAGTCCATTGCGTCTTCGCTTTGAGACAAAGAGAACACGAATTAGGGTGTTTCGAATTGAAAGCAAACTGCCAAGTGTTGACGTTACATATATGCTACGAGGTCATGACCTGTGTAGAACAAAGGAGCGTGCGGGAAATTTGAAAGTTACGAGTTATTTTATTAGTTTATTTTATTGATTGAGCATTTTGAAAGAGCAAGCCTGGCTTTTTGGCTTCTATGGAGGCTTCGCCACTGATCAGGACCATGCTTTGTGGCATTCCATGGCCTATGTTAAGCATTGGGTTTGTTAAGGATGGTGATGATGTTGGTGAATCTTTTTTCAATGCAATGAAGGTAATTACATAAAGAATAAGGACTTACTATTATGACTACTGTCTTTATTGTCTTCTTGTTGCGATAAATTTTGACTAGTTTCAGGTTCCACTTCTTTTGGTGAATTTTCTTCTTTCACTATACTGGATGATGATGATTCAGGCTTTTCATCATTGCTATTTCTTTTATTTGTTATATTTGACGTATTACATGTTGTGCTGTAATGTAAAAAATATGCTTAGTAACTAAAAAATTTGTAAAACATAAAATATGAAATTATTTATTTCTTATTAATAAGACGTAATATAATAAGAATGTAAATTGCAGGTGTTAGTAGGTTTTACATTTATGACGCAAAAAAGATTGAGGGAGACTTAAAATAAATAATACTTAATAATACTTAAAATAAGTAATTAAGTATTACTTAAGTCTCCCTATAAAAATAACTACTAATATATTCAATGCTTAATTTTTTTTAATTTTTTAATAAATTTAGTAAACACAAAAAAAAACATTTCTATTGTCTATTCTTCTTATCTTTCATCATCAGCCTGTAAGTCTACTGTAAGACATGGAACTCTCCCACTGTAGGAGTGATTTGCTATAATAGTCACGGTTGGCAGACAAATTGACAATCGCAATACAAAACATCTCGCATTTTTGACATTGCTGTCTGTAGCCAGTGTGGCTATTTCATGTCTATGTCTGAAGTAAACAATTTAGTTTATAGCGTCATCTTTAGAATTAGACGTAGAGGAGTGATAGTGATAGATTAATTTACGACACTACTACACAGCAAATGAATTGTCAATGCTTCCTAATGTTTTCATGAATCAACTCTATGTTTTATGAATTAGAGGAATTGTTAATTTCTTCCTTAGGTTTAATTTTAAATAATCCTAGTACATATCTAAAAAACAGTTTTATTTAAATATAATATAGAACAGATACAACATCCCCAGTTTTCAAAAGATCTATTCACTTGATCGGTTTAATGATGTAATAATTATTCTTTATAAGCATAAAAATATACTATTACTGTTTGAATTCGAACAGTGGGGCAGTTTTCAAAATATAAAAGTCCCAAGAAATAAAACTTCAAAACAAATACCTAAGTTACTAACAAACATTCTAGTGAAGAAGGCACAGGCACAGTTACTTATAATATGACTACATTAAGGTGAAAGTGTTGTAGACACAGAAGTGACAGGCAATCCAAAACCCAAGCAGATGACAAGTGGCTACTTCAACTAAGTACTTGAGTATAGATGAAATACCTGATGAAATATCAATGAATGTAAATAAGTAACTGGTAGTAGCAGCTTCACTACTAATTGACACTAAAAAAAGGTAAAACAGTAGGTGCATACCTAGATGGCCTCCTGGGCAGAACAGAAATTCCACCTAGTGCTTACAGTAGTAAGTTTTCACTGTATGTTCAGAACTAGACAATTATTTTTTGACATTTTGAATATGAAGTTATGCCATGGTTAAAATCAGCAAAAATAAAAATTATCAACACTAATGTTATTAAAATACGAAATATTAAATCAAATTTTACTAATTTCAAATTTGAATTAATTATCCATTCCAGCGCCAGACCGGTGCTATCAACTTTCGGTCAACCGCCAGCAACCGCGCGGTTAAAAAATATCATTTGACCACTTCCAATCTAGGCGACAAAATCACCTGTTGTTCAAACACAAACTACAAGCGCTATATCTAAGTAAAAAATACAGTTATGAAGTAGAATAATTAAGGAACCAAACTATCTAAAAATCAAGAATTATAATTCTAATTTGAAACTAAAAAAAAGGTTAAAGTTGAAAAGCAAAAACTGACATATCTCTATAAAAATTAGTGCTGCAACGAATACGAATACGAATATTCGTATTCGCCGAATAGTAAACATTTACCGAATATTCGTATTCGGCGAATACTAACCTTGAATATTTAAAACTAATATTTTTGTACGCAACTCGACGCACTCAAACAACTGAAAGATTCTCAACAAGCTAACAATATGCCTAAACATGTTATGTTTCAAGATGTTGAAACTAGATAGGATTCAACATTTCAGATGTTGAAGAGATTACATGAACAACACATAGCGATTCAAGATGTTTTACCATCTCTACTAAATTGTCATGAAATCACAGCAAGGCAATGGGCTCTATTGAACCAAATTATTGATATTCCGACCAATTTTGAAGAAGCTACTAAAGAGCTAAACAAAGAATCAACGACATTATCTCAAGCAACCCCAATAATACGAAGTCTTAAATCTTACCTCTGATCCATTGGCCATTTATTTGGCGAAAAGATGTCCATTTTTCAAGGCTGAAAAAACTCGCAGAAAAATATTTTTCACTGAAACCATGTACAGTAGCCTCGGAAAGGTTTTTTTTAACAGCTGGGAACATCCAGACTGACAAAAGAAACACACCTAACACCAGAAAATCTACAAATTTTATGTTTTTTTAAATAAAAATTTGCCTGTTGTAAATTTTAATTATTGGAACATCATTAAATAAAAATAGTAGGAAAAAAAAAGTTTTTCAGTTCCATGATGAGATATTTGTATTCATATTCGCTGAATAGTAGGTTTGATATTCGTATTCGTAAAAGTAGTATTCATTGCTTCACTGATAAACATATTTATTTTATAAAAAAAACACTTAACTTTTTATCCAGTTTAATAATATTTAAATAAACTAGATAAAATTACGTTTCTAACAATACCAGAATGTTTAAACTTACAGATTTTTAATATATGTTAACAATATTATTATCACAGATTGTTAACTAATTCATCAATTTTTTTTTTGTTGACCTTCTGCTTGAGTAGTGCTACTAACCTTACATTTTCTTGAATAATTTTATAGGAATGGACTCTATGAAACTATTTTCATAGACAAAACACATTATTCAATTTATTATAGCATTTTTTGTCAAAGACTCATTTTTTGTTTCGGGTACCACAGTCCCACATGAAGCTTGAGTGGATATAACTTGCAGATATAGAAATAGTAAGATAACTCACTGTTGATACATTATTACATGAACTTTGATTATTATTACTCACCTGGCTCTAGAATCACAGTTGTTGGTTTCAGTGCGAGGTACCTTATTTGGGTAACTGTCACAAAGCCGTGCTTCTTTGTGTTCTGCTAACTTAATTGCTTCTGCTGCTGCTTCATTTGGTGTTAACTGTCTAGCCTTTAAAATTAAATTTCACTAAGGTTTATAATTAATTAAAGCATTGACTTATATATTACTAGAGTAAGGACCGGGCCGACCGAACAACCAAAACGGACCAGTACGCTGTCCCTAAAATTACAGTTTAGGGCCAACGCGACTTGGTCGACAGTGGTGCGCGGGCAAAAATTACGATACAAAGATTAAATAGGAACATGGTATATTGTATCATCGGTAAAATAACCTTATATTCATTTTGTTAATAATAAATTATTATATAAACGCATTTTTAAGTTTTATTTTACAGTTAGTTTAGTTACGTTACCAAGATTAGGCCAGGATTGGATTCAGACCCTCAAAAATATTGTACATGGAAAATAAAATTAGGTATACTATTTTTCAAAAAATATATCACGTTTGACGTTTCATATTTCTTTTTTCCCATGTGCCGGGATTTTAGCGTCACGCGTCTTGTTTATCTATACATTTCGTTTTTTGCCAGTTTTATTTTTATTTCTGTTTAATTTTTGTCTAAAGAACTTAGTGAAAGTTAAATTTTGAATATTGGTACCTAATATAGTTTATATTCAATAAGGGTAAAATTAAAAAAGTAAAAAAGAAACCATACCTATCTGCTTAATTGAATCTGAAAATCTGATTCATAAAATATTTTGAAATTCTGTTTTCAAACCGATTACTAAGAGCTTAAAGTTTTTATCGTAGTAGCCCCTCATTATATTTGTATCAAGGATGCAACATGAATACATCGATCGAGCACCGATTAACCAGAAAGGGAGCTAATTCTAGTTTTATTAAAAAACTGGGTATTCATGTACAAAACAGAAATTCTCAATATCGTAGGGTTAAAAAATAAAGGACCCAATAATAATACAAGTCGACCTTTAGGTAAAATTATGGTATTTTTGCTTAGTATTATTAAAATACTTTTGAAATCATTGAATTAAAGTTTTTCATCTGGAGTTTCAGAATTAAAAACTTTCCTTTTTTAGCTTATCTATTCTGTTATATTTAGTTTTTCTAGTAATAGTAATATGTTCAGAATATAGAATAAAACACAGAGGTTGAATATTAAATTACCTACATTAAATTTACTTTATTAGTTAACAAAGTAAGCAAGTACCCTCAAATAGAATAACGATAATTCATTGAATATGACAAATAGTTATTAGCTATGAATTATTTTACCTGATGATTTGATGCACAGTGTTGGTTGACACAGTTTGGATTACCGCAGCCATCAAGTAACTGATAAAAATATCTTTCAATCAACTGTTTAGCGGCACGCTTCATAATGTCTTGAGTACTATCCAAAACTGGATTTAAGCATAAAACTGGTTGAGATGAATCTTCTAAATTGTTTGGGGTTGGAATATTATTAGACGATGATGCTTCGCTCCCCCTTAAAACAAATAAACTTAAAATTTAGATAAAACTGCTCGAAGTATCCTAGAATATTGTTACCAAAACAAAGAACGAAAATGACAAGTAATGCATAACCTCATCAACTGATCTTTTACATTATTACGCATCAAATGATCAATTATCTACGGTAATCATGTAAATAAATTGTGATTTTATTAAATTAATGTGATAATAACTAGCCAATAGTGATAAATGAAATCGCAAAATAATGAAATTACCTTGAAGCTTCGTCAGTTTCGCTTTTTGAGTTCATAGAAATTAATGGTATCCAATGCTAAAAAATGCCTAACCAATAAATGATATAAATGAAATTGGATAATCGGGAACATTCGATGATTATTTACTATTTTCAGCACAATATTTAAAAAAAAACAAATAAAAAAATAATTATTATTAAGACCAATTGTTCTTATTTTCTATGACCTGTCATCCATTTTTATTAGGGATATTCACTTAACATCGATATATCGAACTTATTCGATTCCGTACGATATATCGGATTGATTCGATGTTTTGACAAATATTTATTGTAATCGATATATTTATTTATAGAATCATCGAATATTTGCCTTTTAATTTTTGTGTTGATTCTATTAAAAACTAAATAAATTTTGACATTACTTGATGACTTCAATTTTTAAATAAGATTCATTAAGATAGTGACGTCTGTGACAGGCTTAACCACTCACGTCCCGACAGTGTATTGGACCAATTAGTCAGACCTTTGGTCAAAGCAAAGAGTATAGGAGGTTAGGCAAATGACAATTTTTATTTTTAAATGAAGGCAAATATAACTTGGAGTTGTTACCATGTTCTTATCAAAAAACAAAATTACCAATAATTAAAATTTCAAATTATTTCTATAAATTTTTCGTTTTTGTTTCACTTGCAAAAATGTAGCTATAACTCATCTCAGTCATCTCACGGCTATCTTAGCAGTACAGTTCTATTTAAGTAACGCTCATAGGAAATCACTATTACACTACAAGTTTAGCTATGTTGCTCTAGTCTCTGATTCTACATTCACAAATACAATATATTTTAAGGTGGACACCCCATTTTCATTTTGTACCAAAAAGATTGTTGTTACCATAGACAGAGAAACCTATAGACTAATGATTAGCGTGGCCTCAAGTGAGAAAGGACGATAACGTAGTTTTAGGTTATACAATAAACTTTATGACTTTTAAACATATTTAGATAAAATTTTTAATTGTTCTAAGAACTGAACTGAACAAGATTCACCAATCTTAAGCTCACAAAGCACTTTATTCTGACTTAAACCAACTTGTAAACTCCTTAGATCGCTACGAACTGTCAAAGTTGTTTAGCAAAGTGTAGTTCGCTAAATAAAAAACCCGGCACGGAGAAAGGGACAAACAATCACAGCGCTCTGTCTCATTTCTATGCAAGACGTATGCATAAATCTATCTTTTTCGTGTGCGAATGCGAAAGAAGGTGTCAATTTGTCTATAGGTTTCTCTGTCTACGTTTAAGAAAGCCTGGATCATACAGCCTATAATTATTTTAGAGTAACACGGGCCACGAGTGGATCGGAGGAGAGTAGCCATCATGACTATAACTTCATGGTAGCCATGCGGAGGCTTTCCCCTCCGTCAAAGTATAAGTACACGCGGTCCTATGGTTGCAATAAAATTAGTTGCAGCCGCATTGTTCACTAGACTAAATCTAGTCGTTGTTGGGCTGATTCGACGCAGATTTTTGCTGCGAAAAGAGATCTATCAGGTCAAAGTTACAAAAAGTCGCGTTACTTTTCATGTGAAAGTAATTTTATCACATTATTTATATTTACTTCTTTTTCAACTTAAAAGTTACAATAATGACGAAAATTCTACTATTATTTAAGGGACATTTAACGCTTAGCGTATGTCTGTCCCATCATTACCTATATCATTTAATCATATCATTTAATTATATCATTCAATTATATCATTTAATCAAATAATGTTAATTATTATACTAAGTGGGCCATGGATTCGAACAGAACTTTCGCATCGTCGCCATTTGGTTTGGTCAAAATATTATGATATGTACCTACGTCAGTTTTGTTCAAAATCAAGACCCTTATTAAATTACTTCTAAGAGACTCAAATCGAACACATTAAATCAATAAATGGTGTAGGTCTTCTGTAACTCCACAGTCTTCACAATTGGGTGAAGTTATTTTTCTCAAAAGAAGGAAAATTTCTTACATGGAACGTGTCCAGATCTGAGTCCATGAGCAGTAGCAACTAACTTTCTGCTTGACGGTTGTGGAAAACTAAGACCATCTGCTAGAACTACTTAATTACTTACTAGTAGGTCTACACTAGTAGGACGACACTAGGATTTTCCCCTGTATCGTGGGGGCAGTTTACAAACATAAATTTCACAAAGACAAACATCCAGACCCGGAACAATTACTTGTAGGCCATATAAATACTTGTTCCGTGCGGGATTCGAACCCGCGTCTCATAGCGCTGTAACTCATTGCTAAGCCACTGCACCACGGAGCTGTGTTCTATAAATGTATGAATGAAATGAATAAACATATTATTATTATTTTAGGGTATTTATATAATTTTCTCATCTAGTTGGGCTGTAGGTATAAATATATAAATGAAAATTATGTATAATAATTTATAAGAAAATGAATATCAAACTATCTATGAATGAAAATAAATAAATAAAAACCCAAACAGATGGAAGCCCTCGGCAGGGGAGACCAAACGGCCGAGAGTAAGGGAGAAAGGGAGAGAAACTGGTGGGCAATGTGGGTGGTTCGAGAAGCACAGCCTTCTGCATTTAATCCCGGAGAGTTCTGTCACGGAGTCCCAGTCACCTCAGATGACCCGCGAGGATGACCGGGATAAGCCCGTTTGCAGAAACGACTACAAGTATAATATCGGTCGGCAGGCTACCCCATGTCGGTCACCTCGTGATTCAGATCCAGATAATTTGTTTTCTTATCTGTTTCGGCTTTCATGATATTCTCGTTATACGGAAATGTAATGTCGACCAAAATATCCTTGATTGTGCCCGGTCCATCTGCACAATATCAGACTGATTCACAACAATAGTCCTATTTATGGTGATGGCCCGGTTCCAGTAGAGCTTGGCGCGGTTATTTTAGAGTACGGCTTCCGACAATTACTTATAATAAGGCAGTTTCTACTGGTGTAGAATCCTGGCTACTAAGTTGTGTCTGTGCAAATACTCAGAGTTAGAAAGTGCTGAACAATCGGAGATGACATGCTTAACACGATAACTGCGAAACGAGACTTGAATCACCTCGTCTGTGTCTCGTCTTTATAACCGTAAGGAAAAACTTAAACTTCTCTGTCGTGCGAGAGGCGTAACTTCCGTCTGGTTCAGTCTAGGAAAGAGATAACTATATATCTGAGATGTGCTATTGATGCTGAGTTTTTTGGTATACCTACCTTAATACCGGATTTTTAGGCCTCGTACCGCACTGAATAAATAAAAGTTTAATACAGTGCGTTACGAGGTTGCGAACACCTCGTACCCTCGCACACCTCGTACCGCACCCCACACTAGCTTTACGCGGTTAGTGTTGTGCAAAATGTTGAACGTTGCGCCCGCGACGATATAATAAGATGTCGAAACGTTGCCGAAAGTTAATTAACAAAATTATTAATGATGTAGAGGAATTTGGTGGTAAATCTAATTCTAAATTACCGATATTTGAAAAACAAGTAAGTTTCCAATCAATATTTACAAATTATACTCAGTCTACGCGAAATAATTATGTAGGAATATAAAAAATAAATTCAACTGACAAAAGCAACACACACAGGATCAAAGAAGAGGAGATGTGTAGGATGCTACGAAAACTACGCACCTTCTTGTCAAGTCGTAAGGCTAACAAAAAAGCAAAGAAAATTCTTACATAATGTATCAGTTGCAAAAATATTATTGTTTGACCTGTTTTAATAAAAGGCATCCATAAGTACAATTAAATAAAATCGATATTTTTTTCTCATCACTAAACAATATGAAAAACTGCCCTTTTGCAGTGCGGTATGGGGTACATAAAGCCCCACATTTTATTTTACCTATAGAATCTAAACTAAATAATCCGCCCACAGGCGGCGGCAGATTAAGGTTAATCAACTCATTGATAATAATAATCGCGACAAAAACCGTACAAATCGCCTTATTTGGCGCCAAAAAAGGATTTTTGTCTCATGTGGGCAGTGGCGTTTACTAAGCCTCGTGCCGCTACAACCTATGGTTCAGAACGAGATTTTAAACGTTTCGTAACGCAGTAATGGAAAGTACAGATATATCAGTGCCGCTGGGAACGTGTTATGTGACTCATCGGGATGGCGACAAGCTCGACATATGTCAACGGCGACCAACAACTATATCCGATAGTTGTTGGTCTTAATATCCTGATTTTGTATCGCACAGACAAAACCCTCGGTTTCCCCTACGAGGTCACCGAAACGTAGTCAATGTAGGAAGGCGACTGTATCTACGAGAGGCTCATGTAGAGCCTTGTAGAACCTACCGTAGAACTTCTTCTCCTACCATACGGCTTCCTGGTCAGAAATGCTCTGTACTGTCGGGTCTTACCATTGCTCGTTGGCTAAGGATAGAGGAGTAAGCCCTTTATCACAAGAAATGATTTCTCTATAGAATGAATTATCCGAGCTCGCCAGGAAGTAATTACGGAGGCTGCATACATATCGAATATGCATTGTACGCGCCAGCGCGCTTAAAAAGCCGTGCCTACCATGTTTCCGCGGCAAGAACAGCCTCATAATCGATGGTCTTGGGTGAGGCACTCTATGGGACGTCATAATAGTGCGGATTTTTCTATACAGGGCATTAAGTTTAGTTTGAGTCTACTGAACTAAACTTCTAATGAAACGTACAGTGGTGGACCGCCAAGCATCCAGATTGTGTGGATGTAATCAGAAGGTTTGCCGCGTAGTGCGTTCATGAAGCTTGGCGGCTGGAATTAATCAGAACAATTCCTCATAGCACTCCCCGTGGTAGATGCGAAAGAAAACGCAAAGAAATGCAACATCCCTGTGCAGCGCCAGTGAATCGAGCTGATCGAAATGCACTCGGTCGTCGATGATTTGAGCCGCTCAGTTAGAGGCCAATTTGGCCTTCTCTTCTAAATGACAACGAAATTGCACGCGATATTTCGACTCCGAGGATTCCGATACTGGCTGAGGTAACAAGGAAAGTACTGTTACGAGCTTGAGGTTCGTGACAATA